TCTGGAATTGCTTCATCAGACGATATTCCAACAAAAGTATCAAGAAATGGAGTTGCATTGTCGGAAGAAAATGACAGGCCAAGTTCCTCTCAGAATGCAACAGAGATGCCTAAAGACGCGAATATAATGGATGATAATTCAGGTGACAAGATTCCAGTCTCTGGCGATGATAAATCTAGTTATATCTATTTTGGTAATGGTACGGTTAAAGATGTCGAGAAACTACCATTAATAAGAAAAGATGACCTCAAAAGATTATTAAAACAAAGAGAGGATGCAATGAAACGCACCAATACTCACCAGCAAGAACCTTCAAACCAACCTTTGATAGACAAACAAAAATTGTATACCAGATCTCATATTCCTCATGCAAAAATGAATATCAAGCATATTTTTAAACAGTTTACCAAAGTAAAAGKACTTCGTGTGGTGAAAAATGGAGTCGCTTTCACCATCAATAAAAAGAAGAAGCTATCTCAAAAAGAGTATTTRAACTCTCTCAGAAAAAACTTAAAGGGGTCCAAAAAGGCTTCYAAGCATAGTACCCCTCCTGAYCATAGGAAACGATTATTGCACCATATCTCAGAAAGAACRAACAAAAATATACAAAATGATTTAAAAGACTCGAAGAGAGAAGTGCAAGAAGGAGAACAGGATAATCAAATTGAGTTCAAAGATGAAGGGGCGATAAATGAACTTATTTCTAGAAATTATTAGCAAGATATTAAATATCTTACTCACTTAGAATTAGGAAAGCAAAACTGATGTATGAAATATTTATTCTTGTGATATTTAGAGCATATAGATACAATAATATATTATAAGTTTATCAGTGGAGGTAAAATTAACAAACTGCTACGATATATGTATATGTTCCCGTTTTTGTTGGGAAAATACTTTTTTATATATTCAATATCATTGAAGAGCCATCACTAACCATGATCAGATTTGGGCTTTGTATTGAAATATCGGCTGAATTTACATTAACTTCTTCATGGTTGTCTGAACGTACTGACCTGGAATACTGTAAGACATCTTATTGATAGAAATGGGTTTTTATAAATATTTGAAATGATCTCAAAGTGACTGGTTTTTGTGAATTTGAGCCATGMCTTGTATGATGGTTAGCTATGGCCCTTCGGACAGTACCACACTAGCTTATGCACTAGTTATCTGTGGACTGTATATYCTATAAAAGACTTAGCATTGTAAAGAAAAATTAAGAAATAAAAGTTTGTTTAACCACTAAGTACTAACTCAAAGAAGCACTGCGCATGCTCTTTGCGACTAATGGTTTGACTCGATGTTTTCTTTATGTCTTCCATTCCCACATTAGCAAACAAAATGACTTCCTTTCCATTCCTTGTTCTCCGTTTCTTTTCCGATCGCTATGAAAGTCCATATCACTGATAAAGAATTGAGCTTATGATCCAAGTAAGAAGGTACATCGTAATCACTGAGGGCGTGGTTTGACGATAAAATATTCTTGTAGAAGATGCTTTAATGTTTTTTAATCTATTAAATGAAAAAAAACATGATAGGATCATTCTAATGAAAATTAGAAAAAGGAAGATATGAAAAAAGAAGAACATTACCGTGTTTAGACT